ATGTAAACTTATTTTTGACTCTGTAGGGTTGCTTCTTTGAAGGCCAAGAGGGAAAATGTAGATCAGGGTTTTCAACATGGGAAAATCATACCCACTTTTAGTCTGATTCCTGTAAAAGTTCCTGCACCAACACTAGAGCTGGTCTTGGAGAATACAGCAAATCACTCTGCAACAAATTGCACAACCACCTCTTTCTTCCTTATTGACCATTATTCCTTGAAACCCTAGATATATGACAGTGAAACTTCCTTTACATTTGGTCTTTTCAAACCACTTTAGTTCTTTTCCTAAAACACAGGTTAGAGTATGTCATTCTTTGTCTTGAAAACTCGGAGTTGGCACCCCACTGTTTGTAGAAACAAATTTACTAAAGTGTCCTTCCAGCCTCATTTCCTTTGTGATTCTTCTGCAGTGGACATGCTCCAATCACCCGATGCTGTATCATTTACCTTTCCATGTTCGTGCTGTGCCTGTAGTCTACAATGACTCCCCTGTTCAATATTCCTTTTGTGCCTTTGTCCAGATTTTCTTATTCTTGTGAGGACACCAGTTATTGGATCAGGGACCATTTTAATGCAGTATGACCTCCTCTTAACTTGATTACATCTGCAAAGTCCTTATTTCCAAACAAAGTCATATTCACAGGTATAGGAATTAGGACATGAATGTATCTTTTTGGGGGACACAATTCAAACCACAGTACGTGGCTATAGATATTTTAAAGAGAATTCCACTTTCTGTATTTCAAATCTTTTAAACTAGTGCTTGTCATTTTTCAGAGAAGTCATTCAGACTTTGGTTACTTGCTTTTTCATTTTTGATGAGTAGTTCCGGAACCAAAAAGTGTCCATAAGTCATTTCACTTAAATTTTACAGTAAGAAAAGTTAGACAAATCATCTTAACTTATTGTGTCTGAAATCATAAAGTGGTCTAGTAGCCAGTCCCCTGATGTCAAGGACAGTGTACTTTCCTTAGGCTTTCAACAAAAGCAGAGAAATGAGGTGATTCTGAAAGGGTCAGATAAAGTAAAAACCCCAAGGTTCATTTTAATACTCCTTTGAATCACTCAGCGTTGCCCTCAGTCATAGGAGAGTTGTCCTCAGTAAAGCACCAGGAACTGCGGCCAGTACTCCTGGAAGTTCCACAGTAACTGTCAGCTGGATGTGGAAGTGAATGTGAATTTGAGGAAAACATATGTGGCTGGTGAGTACTAGCCTGTGGAAAGGGACTGGAGGTTGCTGAGAATTTCCATAGATTATCTTCTTTAATCTTCATGACAGGCCCTACCGGGTGCTGCTAGGGGAAACTTTCCCACGGCTATAAAACTGGTAGGAGGCAGAGCTGAGATTTGATCCCAGGCCTGTCTCATTCTGAAGCACTAATTTAATGGCCTTCGTCCTGCCTCTGTTTTCTTTACCAGAAACTATTATTTTCTCTGCTATTAAAAATGGTAAATGTTGCCAGGCTCAGTGGCTCAGCCTGTAGTCCCAGTGCTTTGGGAGGCTGAGGTGAGTGGATTGCCTGAGCCTGCGGGTTCAAGACCTGCCAGGGCAACTTGGCGAGACCTCATCTCTACAATAAATCAAAAATTAGCCGGGTGCGGTAACGCGCGCCTGTAGTTCCAGCTACTTGGAAGGCTGAGGCAGAAGGATCACCGGAGCCCAGCAGGTCGAGGCTGTGATGGCCGGGAGCGGCCACTGCACTCCAGTCTGAGTGACAGAGTAAGACTCCAACTCAAAAAAAAAAAAAAAAGGTAAATGTCACAATTATAATTAAGTGTTAAACCAAAGACAATATTCATATGGAAGAAAAATTGTGTTTTTCTTACTCTCTTACCCAGGCTGGAATGCAGTGGTATGATCATAGTTTACTGTAGCTTCAAACTCCTGGGTTCAAGTGATCCTCCTACCTCAGCCTCCCAAATAGCTGGTACTGCAGGTATACATCACTCTGTCCAGCACTCATATTTTATAAGTGCTCTTAAGGCATTTGAGTAAAAAATTAAACAATCTGACATAACATACTTTTCTCATTCATCTCTTTTATTTCCTTTTTTTTTTGAGTTGAAGAATCTCTCTCTTTTCGCCTAGGCTGGAGGAGTACAGTGGCATGCTCATGACTACCACAGCCTCGACCTGCTGGGCTTAGGCAGTCCTTCCACCTCAGCCTTCCAAGTAGTTGGAACTACAGATGCATGCCACCATGCCCAGCTAGTTTTTTTTGTGTGATTTATTGTAGAGATGAGGTCTCACCAAGTTGCCTAGGCTGATCTTGAGTTCTTGGGCTCAGGCAATCCTCTTGCCTGGGCCTCCCAACATACTGGAATTACAGGTTGAGCCCCCGCATCCTGCCTATTTCCATCTTTTTAAATTGAAATGAAACAGTTAATAAAGTGTCATATCGTTGATAAATTTTAACTCTTCTAGACAGGCTGTTTTCAGTTTAATTGATATTTTAAGTGTCATTCCTCAAAAATAAGGATTGAACAACTTGCTTTGCAAATTATAACAATATCTGGCAAAATGAAATTATTGGGGCAAAATAGGTTGAACGAGAAAATACAAGGCAGTTACATCAATTTTTTTGCTTTCGGTAGCTTCAACCTATGTACTATATTTTAATTATACATAATTTCAGATAATCTTTTTATTTTATTATTTTTATTTTTATTTTTTTTTTTTATTGAGTTGGAGTCTCACTCTGTAGCCCAGACTGGAGTGCAGTGGCCGCTCCCGGCCACCGCAACTTCAACCTGCTGGGCTCCGGCGATCCTTCCGCCTCAGGCTTCCAAGTAGCCGGAATTACAGGTGCGCGCTACCACGCCCGGCTAATTTTCTGATTTATTGTAGAGATGAGGTCTCGCCTGCCCAGGCGGGTCTTGAACCCGCGGGCGCAGGCAATCCACTCACCTCAGCCTCTCAAAGGCGAGGGATTACAGACTGAGCCACCGAACCCAGCTTCAGATAATCTTTTTAGTGACTTTGTGTAATTTTAAAATTTAGTGGTTTGGGTCACCGTCATCGCCTCCAGGAATAGTGCTTACTCAGGAACAGCTGGCTTGAGTGTCGACAGGAGTCTCAGTCACTCAGCTCAGCTTGTCTCCGTATTGACTTTATTTTCAGAAAGGCTCTTACCTCGTGTTGGGAAATAGCCACACTAACTCCAGGGTTACCATTTACGAGCTTTGAGTCTTGGGGCCCACTTACACGGCCAGTCTGGTCCATGTGGCCATGCCTCATTAGCCACACCTGGATTGTGGGCTTTCTCTGGACTGAGACAGAGGGGAAATGGTTTCCAAAATAATCTCCACGTTGTTATCAAACTTAAGAGGAAGGATGCTGGGTTGATGTGATGGCTTAGAACACATGTTTTCCTGTGGGATTTAAGAAAAATCTGTTACCATTAAAGAACAAATCGGAGTGTTTTGATTTGAATCCAGCTGTGTTCCACCTTCACTTCAGTTAGACTGTCTCTTAGCTTTACAGTTGCTTTTGTTAGTATTGTCTGTCTGTCTTGTCCATCCTCTCTGTTCCTTCAGAACTCCCCCTCAGTGTTCTCTTTCTGAGAAGTCGGCTCTTTGTCTCAGCACTGTCCAACCCACCACAAGATTGCTTCATGTCTGCCTCGTGGACACACACCAGAGTTTGTCCCTCTCCCCCACCTCTGTTGCTGTCTCTCTAACCTTCACTATGAAGGTTGACTCTTCAGTGAATTCTGTTTGGCCCTCCAGCTTCCCATCTTCATCTGTCTTACTCCTGTTTTCCTCAGAGCAGCCAAATTGAAAACAGCCAAATTGAACTTCTGATCTGATCACCTGTCTGTTTTTCTTGGCTTCTCACCTCAAGGGCAGCGTGATCCTGGCCCCTGCCTGCCTTTCCAGCCCAGTTCACAACACACTGTCTCTGTATTTTTTTTTCTTTAGTGTGACAATTATACACCTTAGCACATCTCCCTCTTCCTATTGTGTTAGTCATTACTTTCTTTATCTCTTTAACTCTTACTGTTTAAATGTCGCTTCAAATCCTTAGGGACTTTCCTGCCTGCTCTCCCAGTCCTTCAATGTAGAAATCTGAGACTTTCTTATATCCTTTACTTTTCCTTTTTTGCACTTTTGATAATTAGTAGTTATACACTTATATATGACTATTACTAATATTCCCCACTAGACCATGACCTCCATGAGGGCAGGGACCAAGTTTGTTTGGCTAATTAACTGCTGAGTCTCTAGCAATCACCACAGGGCCTGAAATGTAATAGGTACTCAAATATATGTTAACAACTGAGTATGCTCAAAGCAGTACATTTTAAATTATTACTTTTTCTATAGTTCTCTCACTCTGTCATTATTATTCAAGAATAAACCTATATGTTCTTCAGAACAGTTTTTTTCCAAAGGCTTCAGGTTTGCATAGGAGCGAGCCATGCCTCCCTTCCTGCTGATGGTAAAGATGCTGTACAGGTTCTTGAAGCTCCTGGGTTAGAACGAGGCGTAATTGGGGAAAATGATAAATTTTAGGATATGTGATTCCTCTCAGTTTGACCTTAGTGTGGGTGGGAGGGAGAAGAGGAGACAGTGACTTGCTCCTTGTGGCTCCCTGCCCAGTGACACAGAAGCTCAAACACTCCTTTAACTACAATGTACCATCCCCGGAACCCAGGCATCTAAATTTAGCCCCCTCTGTACGTCCCTGTGATTTCTGGCTGCTATCTGTGTCCACACTGGCTTTGGAAGGAGAAGCTTTCTCTCTAGTGATTTGTTATTTAAAGGAGTCTGCTCAGCCTTCCTGATGAAAACTGGCAATATTTGTGTGACCCTTGGAGTCTACACCCAGAGCTTTCTGTCCCAGGCTCACTGCCTGGAGTCTGAGGGGATCACTGTCACTGCATGCATGTGGGCTTCTGATGTGCACATGGTCTTGTTAACTGGGAAACTTATCTGTCCGTGGGCATCTCACATGTTGCTGGTAACATAACTTCTTTCTCCCTTTTTCATCCGTAGTTGGTCATGTTCGGAGTTTGACCTGAACGAGATTCGCCTGATAGTTTATCAGGACTGTGAAAGGAGAGGCAGACAAGTCTTGTTTGATTCTAAAGCTGTTCAAAAGATCGAAGAGGTGGCAGCTCAGGTATGAGATATGGATTTGCCTTCACTATTTGTGCTTTTAATCACCTCTCTGGTCATTCATTAATTCACACTTTGCGTTGTATTGTACAGTGCCATCAGTGGTTATAAGCAAAGCTTCCAATCCTTTAAGCAAGGCCCCATCCTCAAGTATGTGTGTTAGTAAACACAGGTGAAACTTTTAGCAGGTCACTGTGAAGCAGGACACTATAAGTAGTACTAGAGGTGGGCTGCAGCCTGGTAAGATTTTGATGCCAAGTGTATGCATCAAATGTCATGGAAAAACAGGATTCTAAAATTCATAAAGTGATAAAGTGTTAGTACAGAGGGAAAGTAATATATCATTCTGTCCGGTTTTTCTCATAGACAATAAGTAGTAGCACTGGGTTAAACAGAATTAGTTTTACTCACTACAGGGCTTCAGTATGTAAACTTGCTTTGTCCTCTGCAAAAGGGCATTGTTTCTCAAACCTATCTGGCCAGGGAAACTCTTATTTATTTCCTTTTTTTTTTTTTTTTGGAGAGTGGAGAGTGGGGTGGTGGCCGGGAGGAGGGCTGGGTGTTGGGGGCGGCCTAAGGGTGGGTAGAGTGAGGACAGAGCAACTCTTGATGCCATGGATCCAGACTGGGAAAGGTAAGGTGATATTGTTAAGGAGAGAAGAGTCTAGGCCTTTCTGAGTCTTTTTGGATTTGAGTCCAGGGTACTTCTAAATTGTTACCTTTAAACCTTCCACTCTTTTTTCGATATTTGTTCAGATGTTTGCAAATCAAATCCATTTGTACTTATTTTTTTAAAAAACATTCAACAATTTGCTACCCATACTGACCAAATTCTGGCAGTTTGTAGTATGTGTAGCTACATAAATGAACAGTTTAGAACACAGCCTTTGGCTCATCAGGGCCAAGGGTTGCTTTCTTGCTGTTGATAAGGATCATTTCTCCAGGAAGGAAGTGTTTGGTTAAAGGCAGTTCAGCTAGGTGGATTCCACAGTATTTTAAAGTGGAGTTCTGCCAGGTAGCTAATCATTATAGTAGTTGTTGGACTTGTTAGGTAGGCAGGGGAGGGGACCCAAGAAACCTCTCAGGTATTCGCTGTCTTAATAGTTAGATTCCTCTCAAAAGCATAGGTGAACTGGCACCGACCCTTTGTTTGGTGGACAGGAGATGGTTTGTCTTTGATTTCTCACCTTGTTTCTCCTTTCTCCCAAGGCTTCACCCAGGTGGCTGAGTTGGGTACCCACTTCCCATCACTAGGGCTGCTAAGAGTGGTGGCAGATGGAGGGAAAAAACTCTGACTGGTTTTTGAAAGAAGCTGGAATCTCCAGGATTTTGGAGCAGTATAACTCTGGAATCTGGAGCATAGGCTTTCTTAGAAGTACCCATTTAATAAAAAGACATCTTCGATCCACAGAGGTTTATAACTTGCCCTCAGCTACAAAAGAGTCCAGTTGGTACCATGTCCACTGTACCAGGTGCTGTCTCTTGTTACAGACTGTTGGGTATGTTGTTCCCCAGCCAAGTGTCCAGCAGTCTGTGAGACAGGTGGGATTTCCTTCCACTTCAAGCCCTCTGAGGGGCTGTGTTCCTGGCTTAAGTGGTATTAAGTAACAGCTAAGGTTCAAGAGGGTGTTGAGGGAGTGCTGGATGCTCAGGAGGTACCAGGTATAGCTCTGAATGCCAGCACTGCTGGAGGGACCGTTGCACACCAGCACATTTTGTGTTTTTCTTACATTCTTTTCCCATTTTCAGCTCCTCCTACCTCCCTTGGCAAGCACAAAACGTCATGGGTTTGTATTGAGCACATGACTGCAGGCATTTGCATTAGACCACCAGTGTGACTGTCACACTGGAGATTAGATAAGCTGCAATTGCATTCGTGGTTTTCAAGCAAAATCTGCACAAGGAAAAAAAAAGGCAGAGAAGACTCAGAATAGAAACAATTTGTCATAGAGTGTGCAGGAAACTTCTGTAGGGAGTGGTATATTCTGGTGGAGGAGAGAGGTAAAAATTAGTAGCATGTACCTTTATACCTTTGCCACTCTGATAAAAAAATTAGCAGTGAACTCTATTGGGGAACATGTAGTAGAGAATCCTCTGTTACCCCTAACCTTTATAAAGATCACATTGCCATCACATGCTATGTCATTTACAGTTGCTCCTATTTCAGTGTTTTGGCTTCATCCTTCACAAACTTGATCTTGTGATCTTCCTTCCCATTACCTTTAAGGGACTACTAGAGGAGGTATGTCATTAAAAACACAAGCCAGTCTGTCCAAATTAATATTTTTATTTTCTTAGTTCCATTTGCCTGGTAAAAATTTAAATTTGAAGTATCATTTTTCTCCTCACCAATTTAATAGATTATGACTCCACATAGTACTCAAGATCTTTTTTTTTTTTTTTTTTGAGTTGGAGTCTCACTCTGTCACCCAGACTGGAGTGCAGTGGCCACTCCTGGTCATCGCGGCCTCGACCTGCTGGGCTCCAGTAATCCTTCTGCCCCAGCCTTCCAAGTATCTAGAACTACAGGTGCGCGCTTCCATGCCTCACTAATTTTTTATTTATTGTAGAGATGCGGTCTCGCCAAGTTGCCCAGGTGGATCTCGAACCCACGGGTTCAGGCAGTCCACTCACCTCGGCCTCCCAAAGTGCTAGGATTGCAGGCTGAGCCACCGAGCCCGGCCTACTCAAAATCTTATGGCCAAAAACAGAGAGCAGTTCTCATTGATGATTTTAAAATAGGAGTTGAAATGTAAATGATTGTTAAATTATTAAAGGAGAATAGAATCTTAATATATAACCCACCACCTTTTGTCTAGTGCCCTTCTTTAACATTCTACCTTCCCAAATACTGTAGAGACTCAGGAATCACGTTTTTGTCATTTAAAAAAAAAAGACTTCTGATTTTTAATGCAAAATAGGCACCAAAATGTTTGAACAAAGGAATTCCCAATGAAGAACATGCTTATGAAGCCTGGTAGACTTAGTAATTTTATACCTTGCCTGTCTCTCTTTACCCAGAAAACAGAGGATGTCCCTGTTAAGATGTCAGCCAAGTGCTGTCCAGGAGGCAGCAGTGGCAGTAACTCATCTCATACCTCTTCTGGGGGATCTTTACACCATGCCAAGGAGCAGCTTCCAAAGTACCAGGTGAAGCCATCCCTTCCATAGCAGTGCCCCACAAGGCTGGAATAATCTACTATAATTTCTCCTCAGGGAATAATGCCTGCTTGAGAACTCTCCTCAGGAATAGGAGAAGAAGAAGCATTCTAATGCCTTAAATGTTTCATGTCAAATTTGTTTTCACACTTTGACTTTTATCTCTCAGTAAAAACTGTAGTCAAGCAGAGGTGATACAGCCTAACACGTACTGAGTGAGGAAGAAATGTTGCCAATCAGGTGAATGATCTTGTTTTGTTTCATTTGCTGTCAGAGCCAGAATAATAAACATGTACTTTTCAGTTTTCTTGTACGAACTCCTGAGAATTCTGAGAATGTATAGTGCCATCCTAAGAAAATAGAACTTGCCAATAGAAGGACAAAAGCCTTGTATGGAAGAAGAAAGAAATGGCAAGACCTAACTTGAGTATGAAGGATGGCGAGCTGGTGGCATTTTTATGCCGTATGTGTGTATGTGTGTGTGTTTAGGATAGAGATTAGGGTTGTTGAGAAATATTGGCTAACCAGATATAAGGGAACAAGTAATTTATAAATATTGACTAGCAGAAAGACATTAATTGATAGGGGATATATCAGGCTTTCTTTTTTAAACTCATGTAGAATCTTGTTTACTTGTTGCTGGAAAAACAAAACCAAGGAAATTACCAACAGCTGCTGGTCTAGAGGACTTTGTTAATTTCTTAGTCAGGGTTTGTGCCATGCATTTATTCTTACTTCATAGTGTTCCTGGGTCTTAAAGCAGTTTCCAGTTTAAAAAGTATAGAGTGAAATTTTCAGCTAGTTGAGAATCACAGTTGGCATGTGGCCCTTGTACACCAAGAAAGCAGATTATAAAATGGAGGAAGTAGGTGGAAGTTACAAATAAGGAGTGTGAAAATCAGTTGGTTTTTGTCTGCATGTAGTGGGAAGAGGTTGTTGTGAGCTGTAACCAGAGAGAGGAACTTAGCTGAACGAGCCTGATCTTTCTTTCTCTTTGTACCTCTGCAACCATGAATAAGTAGATGTGTATATGTGTGTTAGTGTGTGTACACGTGTGTCTATAGGTATATGTATGTATATTTGGAGTTAAAAGCAACAAAAAGATTCAGAAGAGAGTGTTAAGGGTGAGTCCTGTGTTTTTCCTTGGGTGGACAGCCTACTAGCAGAGACTCTTGCTTACAGAGTGATGGTGGTTGTTTTGGTCAAGCTGTGCTGTGTGCCTATGGCACACTGTTGTGCTCAACATTCATACCTGTCCTGTTCATTTGTGTGTCACCAGCACTTAGCAGGATGCTAACAATACTGCCACATATAATATTTGATATGAGAGTGAATGCCTTGGAATATAGGATTCTAGTACTCAAGGAGAAATCTGGGCCTGGAAATAAAGACATAGAGGTATTCTATGTAACTAATCATTGAAATCCGAAGAATGATTGAAAATGCAGCGATGAGTAGGAGTGCCCTCCAGTACTCAAGCTGTGCTCCTGGGATGATCTGAGAAAGAAGAGATTCAAAAAGGAGATTAATTAGCATCATCAGATATAGCGAGAGAAATTGAAAAACTCAAATTGCAAAGTGTCCTTGGCTTCAGCAGTGAGGGAGATCATCATGAGAGCAGTTGGACTAGCTGCGGCATGAGAGGCACAGTCAGGCTGCAGTGGATCAGCAAGCCAGTGACAGTGGACACAGTAGGGGCAGTACAGCTCACTCTTCTGACAAAAGGCATGAAGAAGACTGATCGGAAGCTGGAGGGGTCAAGCATTTAAAAGATATTTTTGTAAAACTTCAGAATTATCAGACCATTTGTCTTTTGAATCCTTACAAAAGCCTGCCTACACCAATTGACAGTTTTGAGTCCACACTTACTTCTTTTGTTTTTTGCTTTTTTGAGTTGGGGTCTCACTCCGTTGCCCAGGCTGGAGTACAGTGGCAAGACCATGCCTTACCGAGCCTTGACTTCCTGGGCTCAGGCGATCCTTCTCCTTGGGACTACAGCACCATGGCAGCCAACGTCTAAATTTTTTTTGCAGAGATGATGTCTTGCTATGTTGCCCAAGCAGGTCTCAAACTCCTGGGCTTAAGCAGTCCTCCTGCCTCTGCCTCCCAAAGTGCTTACATTATAGGCATGAGCCACTGCACCTGGCCCATGCTGTTAATAATTTGGTTGAACAATACTGAATCATAATTTATTTTCAGGATGTGTTCTTAGTACCAAGGGAAGAGTTACTGTTTTTTTTCATAATTTAACAATTTCGAGTCTATAGACAGGTGCAGTGGTTTACACTTGTAATTCCAGTACTTTGGGAGTCTGAGGTGAGAACATCATTTGAGTCCAAGAGTTCGAGACCAGCCTAAGCAACATAGTGAGACCTCATCTGTACAAAAAACTTTTAAAAAAATAGCTGTGTGTGGTGGTACACGCCTGGAGTCCCAATTACGAGAGGCTGAGGCAGAAGGATCGCCTGAGCCTAGGCAGTTGAGGCTGCGGTGAGCTGTGATTATGCCACTACCCTCTAGCCCAGATGACAGAGTGAGACTCCAACTCAAAATAATTATAATAATCGTTCTATCTATAGTTTGTAAATGAAGATAATCGAAATCTTTGTTTCTCGTAATAAGAATTAAAATGAATTATAATAAAATACTTGGGTCCTGTGTATAGATACTAATGTAAAAAGAAGAATCATGAACATTAGTAATAATTTGGGAGAAAATAGGCAATCACCATTATAAATTATAATAGAATTTATAACCATTATAATCACCAGTGTAAATTTATAATCACCATTATAAATTAAGATTGTGAAATGACCAGTTGTGGCTTTGAGAAATAGTGGCAATTACTGACTAAACTAATGAGGAACCCAGAGATTAATATACATTGTTTTCTGTTGTGTTCACTTTATGTTATTCCACGACTGACTTTGATTTTGGTCTCTTGCATGTAGTACACAAGACCAGCTTCTGATGTCAACATGTTAGGGGAAATGATGTTTGGCTCAGTTGCAATGAGTTACAAAGGCTCCACTTTAAAGATACACTACATACGGTGAGTTTGGGCTTGCTTCTACCCATTGTGAGAAGTGAGATGCTGAAATCATTGATTGCTTCACTCAGAAATGCATTTCTCCCTCTTTTTTCCAGTTCTCCTCCACAACTGATGATTAGTAAGGTCTTCTCTGCTAGGATGGGCAGCTTCTGTGGAAGTACAAATAAGTAAGTGTAGGATTTTGCACTTCCCCACCTATTTTTTTAAGTGTCTATTTCTGGATAGAGTAATTCTTTATAGGTTATAAGGCATTTTGAAGTGCAAAGCAGACTGAGTCCAAACTGAAAAAGGTGTTTTAAAAGTGGCCATTGTCTTATTATCAATGAGTGGGAAAAAGTCTTTGACGTTATCAGGTGGCTTTAAAGACAAATGTCTGTCTGTATTATGTAGTTTGAGTCTCCATCTATTACCCACTTTTGTTTCCACTGCCAGTCACCAAGTTTTAATTCCCTGGAGTGAAAAATAAAGAAAGGAAAGGGACCACAATAATGATTTTATGGCATTTTCTAATATTATTTTTATCTCTTTACGAAATATTATTTATTTATTTCTGAAGGATTAAAATACCTAATAAGTTTGTGCCTGTCTGGCAGGAGGGGCTGTCTGTGCTTGCTGTCTGTTTGACCAATCATCTGGCCTTTGTGATTGATGCTCCTTGGGCCATGCAGTACTTTGATTTTCTCTCCTGAATTTTTTGTCTCTAATTTTACAATTCTGCATACTCTAAGAATACTAAAGTGTCTAATAATTTAAGCTCGTCTTGGCACATTTGTTTCATACATTTTGAACTTGCAAGCAGGAATATTTCATATACTTCTTTTTAAAAATAAAAAAAATTCTATTTACTTTGATAAATTTGAAACAAAACCTTATTATAAATTAGTGGAAATGCTTAGAGGTCAAGTAAAGGCTGTTTTTTTAATAACCCTGGAAAATTAAAAATACATTCCTCTGTATATTTGGGTGCCATTGGGAAGTCTGCTTTCTCATCAACAAAATAGCTTTGAATTGGACTGTAATGACTTCAGCCAATATGAAAATTGATGTTTATTTCTTATGAGATTTTTTTTCCAGACCCCTTGAATTACCTGAACATTAATTGCACTAACCTCCCTATAATGAAGATTTAAGTAAAAACTATTTTACTATTTTGACTTCATTATGCTGTTTTTCCTCAGTCTTAATATTTACATTACTTGTTAATAAATACAATAAATTATTAGAATCTGCTTTCCTCACATTTTTTATGAATAATTCTAACTTGTTTGTGAAGAAGTTTGTGAAATCAAACTTTTATAAGAATCATTTCTGTCATGTCTTATTCCTGAAAAATGTTGCTGAATTGCTCATTGATGTTAATTAAGAGTAAAAATTAATTTCATTTTGAAGGTTTATGTAAAAATCCTTGAAATGAATAGCAACATCTTGGGTGTCACTTGCTAAAACAAAATTTAGAAATGAATAGCAATAGCCTAGGAGTCAGTTACAGAAGCAAAATTTTGAGTTTGGTATTCCATTATATAATATGAAATTGTTAGAAATATAGTTTTTTATGGATTGAGCTATCTTCAGAAAGTTTTCATTTTCTTCCAACAGATTTCCCTAAAGTTGCCTATTTAATTTCCTTTAGTAGATGTAAGACTTTATTTATAAAGAAAAATAATGAATTACTGATCATTTGGAGGTCTATTAGGAAACAGCTTTAATAAACTTCTTGACGTTTTTGTCCTCTCTTTCTCCCTTTCTCCTCCCACTGGATTTAGTTTGCAAGACAGCTTTGAATACATCAACCAAGATCCTAATTTGGGAAAACTGAACACGAGTCAGAATAGTTTGGGCCCTTGTCGTGCTGGAAGTAACCTAGGTAAAATCAGACTCATAAACACATTCTTGCTTGCTGAACACCAGTTTTGTGGGTGTGTGCTTTGCTTTATTTGAGTTTGTTGTGTTTTTTGTTTTTTGGGGTTTTTTTTTTGCATTATCTTTAATCTGTGTTTATTTTTGTGTGTGTGTACTCTTTGCCCTCTTCTATGTGTTTCCCTCCTTAGGTCTGCTGCAAGCATGCAGCAGCAAACTGCTGCAGGGGGTAGCCGAAGGAGGACCTCTCCGGCTCACCCGGAGTGCTTCTTTCTTTGCAGGTTTGTGTGGAATGCTGAGTACAGTGTGACCCACACACGTTAGTAAATCCTGTGCAGGGTCTTAGGAAAAATCCTTTTTGTGCCTCTCTAGAAATCCAAGGGGCTCTTGTGATAAGAGATATTAGTTTCAAATGCAGCCAAATTCACGGTGTTTTGAAAATTCCACCAATGAACCTCTGTTGTAAATATCTCTACTAATACTCCAGTGTAAGCTGATTTTGATCTGAAATGAGCCCTTAGTGTTTCTAAGAGGATTACTTTTTCTGATTTTTCTGGGCCTTTTCTGTTGCTATAAAGTGTTTCCCTTTGCCATGGTATCTTTTATCCATTTATTCACCTGCATCCTTACCTGCACGGAATTTCTTTAAAAGTCACTCTAATAAGAGCATGGAAGAAATCAATCAAAATCAATCTCTCTCTCTCTCTCTCTCTCTCTCTCTCTCTCTCTCTCTCTCTCTCTCTCTCTGTATATCTTTCTCTGTCTCTCTTATAGTTTAAACACAATTCCTAGGTTCCTTACAGGTATAGTCATCTTGGTGTCTCTGGGTAAATTGTCAGTTGTGAGATTAACTGGCCTTTCCAGCTAAGGCTGTTGAATGTCTGTTGTAGTCTTGGCATGATTAACAAGTGTGGGAAACCCCCATTACTAACATTTAAACTTGTGAGTATAGCAAATGGTATTTTTCCTTCTGTTCTTCTTTGTTGCCTGAAATATACTAAGCACCATGGCTAATGAAACTGATTGACATCCTAATGAAATTGATCCCCTTCCACCTACTTAGAGTGAGGATAACATGTTTGTATACTGTCTTTAAAATTGTGAAAATAAGCATGCTTCCAAAAATAGCTGACAAGTGTAACAATCAGACAGAGCACTGGGCTTGTACATCGTAAAACTTCACTATATTAACATTACATCTGCCTTCAAGTGCAATACGAGTACAGCCTAGGTCAGTCTGACATATTCCTAGAAGTCTGTAACTTTAGACTGTTTCCTAAAATTCATGCTAGAACACAGTATTATTGTAGAATTCAAAATATCTCTACAATAATACTGTGAAAAGAAGTGGAGGAAGAAATATTTGAAAATGAATATGTGTTTTTTATCTGCCAAGAGTGTGGCTTATAAACAGAGAAACATTTTTGAATTTATGAAATGGTTTTCAAGTATTCATCTTCCCTAAGTTGCTTGCAGTTACTACTGAAACTGATTATAAGGCATTTTTAAAATGCAATGCTATTTAAATACTACTAATAATGAGGAAAATGGCTAAAAAATTCTACCTGAGAATGTTTGTTCATTGCATCAACTGCATCAGTAGTCTATTATTCAGGTTTTTTTGAAAGAGCTGGACATCACTCACAAAAATGTATATGTTGCAATAGCATACAGGCAGATGGTTATTTGGTTCTATTTTCCTTTCATCATCTTTTTATATATTTAATTTTGCCTTTTAGTTACTCTTTATTATAAGCTTATGCCAATCATCAGTAGTAGTCGCCTTTTTGAAATCTAAAAATTACTGTAGTCATCTTTAAAACTTTATCTTTAAAGCGTGCAATAACATGGTTTCCTTATGCCTTTTTCCTAGCACACAGCACACCAGTTGACATGCCAAGCAGAGGACAGAATGAAGACAGAGACAGTGGCATAGCTCGATCAGGTATTTGTACTTCCTGTTATTGGTTTAACTAATAAAATGAATTATCCATTGTGGTATAGATGTGGGAAAGTAGAAGACAGGTAGATAGGCCTCATCATCTAGTTTGGTTTTGTTCCTTTCTATTCTACGAAAGTCTTATGTGTCTGAAGATCTGAAACTTTGATATACAACATCAGTAAGTTATTTTGCAACATAAACTAGTTTTTCTGATATCCCAAATGATACAAGACTAATGTATATTGAGACATTTCTTTCCAGAGAGAAGCTTCCTTGAGCCAGTTGGATGTGCTTGCTGACTATTGAGTATAGAATGAGAGGAAGGCACACATCTGGAAGTAAATCCGTCTGTTACAGTGACCTGGTCACCTTTTCTTCTGTCCTGAAACATGCTGATCTAGACTTTATCTCAGGGACCCTTCTCTCCTTACTTCAGAGCCTAAACTTTTCTATTACTGCTTTTACGATCTCTTGACTTCAGCTTTTGTACACAACTCTGCTTTTGATTTCTGATTTGTGATTTAGATCAGAGGTAGATTTTGTATTGTAAGTGAAGGGTGATGAATGAGTAATCTGGAATTCAAGGAATTGGAGGGTGTGGGGCTTTGCCTGATGAGTACATATTATATGGGCAACCTCTGCCATCCAGTGAGACTCGGGGTGCTCTGCTGGTTTCTTCCATGACACATGGCACCTTCGCCAAATAGGCCACTCAGTGGTACTTGGAGTGGATCTAGGCCTCAGATGCTTTTCTTCCTGGCCTTTTGCTCATTTCTCTCTCCAGCTCCTGCCCTCAGACACCACTCAAAGGTCTTTGTGCTCATGTCATCTCACTCTGTACCACTCTGCTCTCACATTACCAAACAAAATGTGATTTGTTCCTGAGTCCCCTAGTTGGATTTGTATGTTACATACTGTATGTAGCATTTTATTTATGGTTAAAGTTGACATATTTTGATGTTTATAATCTTTTCTGTGAAGTTGGGCTAGGAGTCTTTTGCCAGAAATTGTCACTGATTAGAGCTGATCATTCTCATTTGTAGCTCCTTTTGTACAGTCATAAAATTCAAGACGGTAAAGGGCAAAATATGAAGCACTAAGTGAACTGCTTTTGTTTTGTTTGTATTTGATGTTGCTCAGGATAATTTCCTCATTCCTTGTGGGGCGCTGTCGACTGAGCTTTGAGTTCCATCAGTTGCTCCAAGATGGTGCTTATACATACAAAATCTTAGTGTCCCAAGGCTCAGCTCCCTGCCCTTGTGCTCTCCCCTTCACCCTCAGCAGGACTGCCACGGGACTGGCTGTGTTATGGTTGAAATTCCAGGCAAAAAAGTGTGGGTCTCATCAGAAGTCGAGAGGTGGGAAGCACAACCCTGTCCCCAAGATCACTCTCCATCACACAGTTGTCATCTCGGTGACTGATGTAATTTTGTATGATCACCTTTGTGTGGTGAGAACTCTTTAACCTCTCTGAGAGCAGGAAAGATGAGCAACATTCTACTAGCCACATTCTGAACACTAATATCACAGAGTTTCTGCCCAGCTGTAACCTTATTTTATTTATTTGTTTACTCCCCTTCCTGTTACAGAAGATTGAGAGATTTTGAGGGAACTAATACCAACAGAAACTTCATTAGGAGGAATTTTGGGTTTTCCTAGGTAACCTTTCAGAGTATAATGTAATTGATGTAAATGGCTCATGCTGTATGGGTGGAAATGTCACTTTTTTGATATTCTTCAGACTCTAAAAGACTCTTAAAGCTACCTTTCTGTGTACTTTGAAAATCAGTAAAGTTGAGAGACCAAGCTCAAATTAAAGTGGGAAGTCGACAGTAGCCTGATCTGAATGTTTTCTCGCAGCCCTTGAAGAAACCTGAGACTGACAAGATTGAAGTGGTTGAGGGATGGGGGAAAGTATTGATACAATGTGAATTTGAGAACTGGAGAAAACTGGCTTTCTTTGGTAGTTTGACTTCTATTCCAGGCATTCTTTTCCTTCGGTTTCTGGTCCTTTTGTTGGGAGGGAGAGGGCAGAGATGCCAGGGAAGGCCACAAGTTGCCCTGGTGATTTGCTCCCTGGTGATATGTCATGGGAAATCTGCTCACCTTCAGATGCCACTGACTCACACCTGGGAGCTATGCTGAAATCTCAGATCATCTACATAAATTATATGGAATTCTTCTGCATGGGAGAGATATCTCTTCTCCCCGTTTATATATTCAGTCATTATATCAACTTGGACTCAGCGTATTTCTTTTTTGCTTTGGGCTATAACCCAGTACTACTTTATTTATTCTGCTGCTCAAATTGTTTCGACTTTGGTCACTGGGGGTCCTCACAGGAGGCTCCTGTGCTCCTTTAATATGCCCTCATCTATGAGGGCTGGGTGAGCATTTTGAATACTTCCTTACATCTGGCACTACCAGAGGCTCTGGCGTCATTTTGTATATTTCCTACCCTGGTGCTAGACTCAGTCATTTCTCTACTCATAGAATGTCTCCAGAAAGGGATGCAAGTTGGGACAGGTGTAGCGGGGAAATACTTATTGTATTCTCTTTGGATATTTTGAATGTGTATTCTTTGCATATGTAAATCAAAAGGATAAGTTATTTTAGGGGTTATTTTAGTGGTTGCCATTAGAAATTTTCTGGTAAGAAAAGAGGGATGAGTTTCAGCCATACTAGGTGGTAGTATTGGCCAAGTTCAATGACTGATGGGACATGGGATGTGGGGGAGGAGGGAAAAACCACGGATGACTCTCTCATTTCTAATTTGAGAAAACAAACAATGGTAGGCATTAACCAGTGTAGGGGAGGCAGGAGGCCAGTCAGAGGAGACAGATACTAGTCAACCTGGGCAGAATCAACAGGGGCAGAATCAGCAGGGGAGCAGAGGTTGAGCCTCCTCTTCTACCTATTGCCCCAGGCGTGTACTTGAAGATGGCACCTGAGATGACAGGTATCATCAAGCAAGTCTTCTTTTTCTTTCTTAATCTGGGTACGTAATGCCCCAGTGAGCAGAATTCTGTTCGGAGAGTGCTGCTATAAAGCTATAAATGTACATAAGGATCTTCTAACCATTTCTGTTCTTGTCTACAAAATAAATCTAATTACAATATAGATTTAAAACTAAGGTTTCTGTTCATACACCAAGTCTCATTACCTGCTTTTTTATACTGAATTCAAATCTCACTATAATAAAGTATTAACTTTTTTCATTTTATATTGTTTAATTTGAATTTTTTCTAATTCTTTAAATTTTGACCAGTGAAGAATCTAAAGATATAGATTATTACCCATTTTCTTGTTTGCGTTCCTCAAGGGAAAATTCTCAAATGAAAAATAAGGGCCATGATCAGTTGTGCCAGGTGTCCCTGGGTTCCTGAGGGCCTTCTAGGCTGAGCGTCCCTGGTACCCCTGTGACTGCCTGTGCAGGACTTTCTGTGAGGGCCTTGTGACTTGAGGCCATGAACTAAAATAAGCTCTTGGTTGTACCTCACTACTTTTTTTCCATGAATAAAGTTTAATCAGAGGCTTTCCAACGATGCCTTTTATTTATTTCTTTCTTATTTTTTTATTTTAAAGATGTGGGGTGCAATTCAGGGTTAGGTATACAGATGTTCATTATGCAGGTACCCTTGTTGACGAGGTGTGCCCCTAACAATGCCTTTTAAAATGATCTAAGGCATAAGCTTTGGAGTGAACAGACTTGTTTGGATGGACGAATCATCTTTGTATTCAAGGCATTTAAACATTTAAGAGAATTAAATTTAGTTAAGTAGTCTGTTCCCACCCATTTCCAATTGTGGGCAGGCAGATTTGCTAAGACCCTCTATAGATCGTTGAGTTACAGTTTAAGAGGAACGAAGGATGCAAAAGAAAGGTTTTTCACAGAGCTTTCGGAAGAAGAGACATGAGGTGTGGGCAATCAGGCAGGAATGACTGGATCCTACACCTTACTGCACCACACAAACACCCAGCATCTAAGACATCATCTGTCTAACAGAAGAAGTTAGCTAAGTGCAGTAAGGCGACCAGACTTGCTTTTCTAAAACCCTTTCAGCAAACCTCACAAAATAAACAGTGGTGGTATCTAGCAATAATGTTAAAAATATTTTCCAAAGAAGCGATTTGTTTCCAGTGCTGGGCGTAAACTTGATGTCCTTTCAGCATATACTAAAGTTGTAGGATGTAAAGTTTGAATGTGGACTTAAAAATAGTTTTCCACACTGTCTAGTTCCCAGAATGCCTGCTTGAAAAAGCAAATTAGAATGGCATAAACAGCCTTTTCCTGTAAGTTATCAGGATCCCTTAACCAGAGGAATGACTTAAAAATACCTATGGTCATATCCTCTTTTTCTGTGGTCTTTTTTTATAGTACTGCTTTATGTCAGTGACTATATTTCTGTTTGCCTTTGGCAATTTATTAAATGAAACATAACTTTAAAAAAAAAAAAAAGAAACCAACCCTCACAGACATCCTCTAGGTCTGTATGGTTAAAACCCCATACAGTTTTACAAAGATAAATAGTTAATTGTAATCTATCTTGGGTGGGGCGCAAAACTTTAGATACAGATTCACTTCCAGATGACCTGGCTGTCAACATTTGAAAATAAGAACAATTTGCTCATACACCAACGAAAACCTTTTGTCCCCATCCCAGGTAGAAATCCTTTCCTTATTCCCACCTAATAGAAAAACAAGAGCAAGACATGAAAAAAGGAAAATGGGCCTTCTGGTCGCTACAGAATGAAGCTTGGCTTCTTTCATCCCCTTTGTGCATTTATTAGGAAGGATTGCTGGGGTCTCAATTCTGCACAGTGCAGGGATCAGACCCCTCCCACCCCCACTAACCTCCTGTTGAAGAGGGCAGTAACCTGGCTAAATAATGAAAGTGATTGCCTAACTAGATTTGAGCTTTTGGGGGGAACACCATGTCTGTGTTTTGGGTAGTTTCCTATTGTTTCTGTGTTTTACTGTACTGGTATATCCACATTCCAGC